ATATTTGTACCTATCCAAAAAAAGGTGATCCAACAGAATGCTCAAATTATACAGCAATATCATTCATATCACATGGATGTAAAATATTGCCAGAGATCATCTAATAAAAATTACAGCAACAGATTGAAAGGGAGCTTCCATAAATTCAGGACAGATTAAAAAGATGGATTGGAACAAGGAATATCAATGACGATGTCAGTCAGATTTGGCTGAAAGTAGAGAATAACAGATACTCACCTATGTTTTATTGACTATACCAAAGCATTCTACTGTGCGGATTCAAAACAAAACGATGGATAACCTTCAGAAAAAAAGGGAATTCTGGAACTTCCTTGTGTTCATATGGAAACTGTATTTGGACCAAGAGGTAGTTATGGAACAGAACAAGAGCCTACCTACTACATGGTTTAAAAATCGGGAAAGGTAAGCATCGGGTTGTAACCTCTCACCATCCTTGTTCAAACTGTATGCTGAGAAACTAATCAAAGAAGTTGGATTAGGCGGAAAGAATGTAGTATCAGGATCAAAGGAAGGCTTAGTAACAACTTGAGATATGCAGATGATGCAACCTTGCTTGCTGAAAGTGAGAACTTGAAGCACTTCATGATGAAGATCAAGGCTTGCATCTTTCAGTACGGATTGAAACTGCAAAGAAAACAAAATTCCTCACAACTGGACCAGCAGGAAACATAATGAGAAACGAAGGGAAGGTTGAAGTTGTCCATGATTTTGTCTTCCTTGGATCCACAATCAAGGCTCATGGAAACAGCAGTCAAGAGATCAAAGAGCACATTGCGTAGGGTAAAGCTGCTGCGCACACACTCTCAAGTGTTGAAAAGCAAGAATGTTACTTTGAGGATGAAAGTGTGCCCGACCCAAGCCATATCATGCTCAATCACCTCGTTGGGGTGTGAAAGAGGGACATTGCATTCTGTAACCGTGGTCTGTGAGATTCTAGTTCAAGAGGTTTTCTCTTTGATATATGAATTCTCATCCATTATTTTTCCAACTACATGGGGGAGTCACAGAAAGATGCTGTGTTGAAGTGCTGGGTGGCCTGAGGCCAAAGGAAGACAGTGACGAAAAGAAGGGACGATGCACGAAGGAAATAAAATAACTGATGTAAAATCAGGCTTCTGTGCTTTGGGGCAACCTTACCTACTAAACCACTTACTGGCCGTTGACTCTGACTTGTGATGACCCCTTGTTGGTCAGAGTCAGGACTGTGCTCCAGAGAGTTTTCAAAGGCTGATTTTGGGGAGAGAAAAAATATTGCCAGCCTTTTTGTTTGAATCAACTCGGGGTGGATTTGACTATCAACTTTTGAGTTAACAGCCAAATTCATTAACTGGACCACACACAGACTCCTCAATCCTCATTGTTGTCTTAGCTGCCATCACATTGGCTGACAACCAGGAGCAACCCCATGTGAGTGGGACAGCTCCTTAGTTTTCTTGGCTGTAATGTTCAGGGCAGCAAGTCTCCATACTTTTGTCCCACAGAGCGATGGCATGGGTTCAAATTGTTAGTAGCAGATTGCCACACCAGCCAGGCTCCTCAGTACCCATCAGGAGAACATGTCCTGAGTTCCCCTTGTAAGCACTTTGGATGCTCATCAGTATGGTATGTAAATACTGAAGTTAAGAGCTAGAAGACGGGAGGGGGGGATCTGAAGAGTGTAAATAAAGTAGTGTCAAAATAAATGAGTCACAGATTAGAAAAATGGTAATATAAGATTAGAACGGTGCAACAAAATGGTGGTAGTCTAAAACATGGTTCAAAGAGTTATTCTATCATTGGGAAGATTGGGCCACATGTGTATCTAAATTTCACCCTGAT